CAAAGTGACGGTAAGTGCAGCAGTACGTCAAGAGCACTATNTGACAATTTTGGTACTAAAAATTAAATAAAACATAGCTTACCTCGTAAGGTGCTTACCTATTTTCCCAGTGGGTCATCAGACAAGAAACACAAGTACATACATATAGGGGAAATGTGAATGAGAGTGTGATAACGAACTTTTATGTTGGATCATTTGAAACACAGATTACGACACAACATCATGCACAAGTACAAAATAATACAGTAGTGTACTGCTACAACCAGAGGTTCCCAAACTTATTTTTCTCGTAGAAGCCTTTAAAAAGTTTACTGGTATCGGTGGACCATCTGATGCTCATTTCTAACATATTCTCAAAGTTCATCAAAAAATGTGAAGATTAAATCTAACGATGTAAATTTGCATCGCAAGTGAGTTCCAAAACTAAATTCGGAGTGGCAAAAATAAAAATAAAATATTTTCTTGTGTTCTATTTATTAAAATGATGTGATTAGAAACTTATAATAATATAATAGATTAGCGCTTACACATATGTTAGTGTTTGGCCGAGCTTCTCCTCCGATTTGTGGCGTGTTAGATAGAGGGCTGGCCAATGCCTTCAGTACAGCTTGGCTGTACCTGTATACATGTAAACTCCTTCCCCTCCACCTATTTTCCACCACGTAGTCTGTGGCTTTGGGGATTGCAAATACCTCAGCCTGGAAGACCGAAGCATATTCCCCATAAGAAAAAGTGAAGCTTATTCCCATTAACTTCGAAAAGATACTCCAGATCCTGACCTGAGTCATTTTTGGAGCTATCAGTTAAGATTAAACAATGTGCGAGTGCGGGCTTGGTGTTGGAATTAAACCAGCATTCCCTTCAGGGAACGCTCTCTCTTTAGAATCTCTTCAACAAAGGTGATGGTGGCGTGCTATCCTGTAGCATTGAAAAGACACAAGTGCTCAGATATCTGCTGCCGGCAATTTCCGCCGCACCCCACTCAGTCTTATACCAACATTAGGTTATATTAAGTCTGCAGGTGGCCTTTAAGGCTTTCCCACGTATGAAAACACAAAGTGACGGTAAGTGCAGCAGTACGTCAAGAGCACTATCAAGCAACCATTATGGTTCTTTACCATCGAGACCAGATGAATTTTCGTGGACCCCCACTTACAACTCGTAGACCTCCATATTTTTACACGCCAACGTAGACCCCTGTCGAGTCTCCCGTGGAACCCTGGGGGTCCACCTGGACCACTTTGGGAATCACTGTAGTATATTATATTATATTATTTTTTATTTAGAATAACGTCTTGTCTGGCTATTCGGTATACAGGTATGCAGAGCTATGAATTAAAAAAAACATTAGGTTTTAGTTGAGATATTGGCCTTTGACCACTATGTTCTGTAAAGCTTTTGCAAAGCTTTTGCCATTCACTTGGAGGTGGCCAGAAGCAGTGGCGTAGCCAGAAGGGGGGATTTGGGGGATAGATCCGCCCCCTTCGCCAATAAACTTTTGATTTAATAACGCAATACCTAAAATGGTTCCTCTGATTTGCATTTTTGAATTATTTCTTTATGAATTGAGCAAATATGTACAAAACCCTCAGTAAATCAGAAAGATTTATGGAAATTCGAAGTTAATGCTAGTAATATGCTGTAACATTAGAGGAAATTAAAAACGATTTTTCTCGGAAAATTTACGTCATGGTATTTTTTATAAATTTTGTTTCGTAGCTTAGTACTAATACCTACCCCAATTTCTAATTTGTTTTTTAAGGGAGATACCATGTTGTTTTTGTTGTAGCAGCATACAAGTTCCCCAAAGAGTTTTTGGGAAGTGTTGCTGGAGTGACAGTCCTTGGCCAAATATAAATCAGGGTCGTTCCGGTTACGTAGACCCGACTGTCGTGGGAACGAAGGGAGATACCTTCGCAGGCCTCGGTTATCTACTAAAGTCTGGAATGGTATTCATGATCTTTGTGAAGAGGAATCCAAATTCGAAGAGGAAGAGAAGTTAATCTACACAGAAAAATTTATATGGGTCATTCCATACAATATTTACACCGCAATATTTTTTTCGGGGTCAAATATATTTTTTTACATTCTCGGAAAAAATCTCGGAAAAAAATCCCGAAATTTTGAACTCAGGGAGATGTTTCTTTTTTAATTGTTTGCAGTTAATAAACTATTTATCGGAGAAAACCAGTTAAGGTATCAACATATACGTAATTACCTCTGCTTTCTATGAAAGTGTGAGATAGATTAAAATAAAAACATGTTGCATTAAAAAATTGCATTATTTTATTTTTGATTTATTTTTTTTATTAACTTCATCAGGTTTGGTTTTTATTTTTTTCAACCTGTATAGTTGCCAAACTTTATGGAGTACGCTGTACAAATTTGAGAATGGAAACACCAAAACTGCAGAAGTTACGATTTTTTTCATACCTGCGTACATAAACTTGATTATAAACTTTATGAACATGCGTACATAACCTTTAGTATAAACTTTATGAAACTTTATGTACAGGTATGAAAAAAACTCGCAACTTTTACAGTTTTTGTGTTTCCATCCTCAAATCTTTACAGCGTACTCCATAAAGTTTGACAACTATTCAGTTGAAAAAAAAAATTTAAATCAAACAGGATAAATACGCACATTTTGATACCTTAACTGATTTTCCCCGACAAATAGTTTATTAACTACAAACAATTGAAAAAAGATACTTCTCCGTGAGTTACAAATTTCGGAAATTTGATTCAAGATTTTCGAATATCATGACGAAATAAAAAAATAGGTGTCTTCTTTTTTCGATAAAGAATGTAAAAAAAATATATTTCTCCCCAAAAAAAATATTGAAATGTAAATATCGTATGGAATGACCCATATTACATATATGTATATAACTTCTAAAGCAAAGGATTTTTTCTTATCTAGCAAAATACGAAATGGTATGACTGAATAGTATTTATGATCTTTATGAAGACAACCCCTACTTCGAAAAGAGAACGCACAATTTCTCTAAGAATTAAAATTTATAGATGTGTATAAATTTGCTTAATGCAGATTCTGAATGAAGAAAACTTATAGCGATCTACAAGGCTAAATTTGTAGAAGATTTGTTCTTATCATGAAATACAAAAAATAAAACAGGATAAAAAAAGAGTCCTATAAAAATATGTTTATGCGCAGAGCCTTATAAACCTATGTTATAATATACGTTCTTAATTAAGAGCATTATAAAACTTATAAGAGTACAGTCTGCAAGTAGTCTTACAAAACCTATATAAAACCGATTGGTCTTCACACATAGACAAGAAATATATAACGGTAAAGGCTCTGTTATGCATACTTGGCATTGCTTGAGAGTTGTCACATAAGGAATCTGTTAAATGAGCTTCGCGTGTAAGCTGTTACCCAACGCACAGCATTACATACGTAAAAGTCTGTTGGTTTTTGATTTCTACGTAAAAATGGTATAGCAGTGCATGCAATGCCAAGTATGCATAACAGAGCCTTAAGAATGGCTCATATATAGTGGAGGGTAAATAAATTGGGACACGACATTTTAACAAATTTTTTTCTATTTTTCTTTTGTTTATTCAACACTTTTTATTGAGCTTGAGGCCGTTTTTAATGGAAAACTTATCATGGAAAAGCAACAATAATTTGAAAAAGTGAAGTAGAAGTGATAGCTATTTCGGAAATTACCACATTTGCTCATCAGACTTCTTTTAGTAGGATTCGAACCGACGATCCCACTAACTCAGCCAGTTGCCTTCGCACTGTGCTAAGTTCGCCTTGTATATTATCGTTGCTTTTTCCCCACTTTTTCATTTGTTAAGCCAACACAATCAAGCGCAGCTATTCCGCTGCAATGCACACTTGATCATGTGGTTGGAATGTTGTGGAATGCACAGCATACAGTGCGTAGGCAATAAATAATTGGTACCGTAACAACGGTTTTCATCAAAATCTGTAGCATATTCAAATGCCAAAGTTTTAGAGAATTTTATTCTTTTGTGCGGCGCGTAGGTCATGACCAGCAACATGCTAAACACAGCGATGTAAGGAAAGTGGCGTAAAATTCAGTTCCACTTCCCGTCAACCGGTACAGTATGATGGCCAAAATTCTATAATTATAAAGATTGAGGTCCTAAAATGATCGAATACATGCGCCTCATTTGGAAACAGTTTGGTCTTATGAAAATTCAGCATGGCATCTCAAACATGAGGTCTAAACTAACCGCAAATTAGATTTGCCTTTACAACTTTTGTGCCACTTGAGAACCCAAAAGTAAAAACGAAAAAGTAACAGCAGGTTATGTTTTTGGTGTTGCTGATACGAACATGATTTTAAAAATTCATAATGGCGAGTTCAATATGGAGGCCAAAAATTTAAAATCGGTCGATATGCTTGAAATGTTTTCCGCCATTGAAATGGGACCGCCATTTTGAATTTTTCCAACCTGTCCACAGACTCGTAATCAGCGGTCCCAAGAACCCCAGAGGAAAACATTTCAAGCGGATCGGATCGATTTTAATATTTTAGTTGCCATCTTTAGTTTGAATCTTTCTAACCTGCACTCAGATTCGCAATAATTCTGGGCCGAAAAAATTAATATCATACAATAACGTTTAAATTAGCTGAATTTTTTTTAATGTTCAACACAAAAATTTCCCTCTCCACTTTCCCATTAACAATTCACAATAGAGCTGTTTTTTTCACTTAACAACACTACTCTTAGGTCGCGTATTTTTTAACCGACCAGGCTGAACTCGGATAAATAGCCGAGTTTGTGTTGTTGCTTTGCGTGTATTTCGCCATTTAAGCGAGTGTTCTTTTGTAGCTCGGTTTCAAAAGAATGGACCTATTATATTGGGAAATTCCAAATCATATTTAACGATTAAATTATGAATTTTATTAAAAAGATAATAACCCTTACTGACATCCAAGAAAATTAAATTCACAGCCTTTCTAGCAAATCATTAAAATAATTTCCTTCATCCTTAGAATGGCCGAAAATTCTAGAAATTCTAAACTCTCCTTAAAAGACGATGAATGCACTTTCACTTGGAAACTTTTCACTGGTTGGGATTTTATGATTGGCAAGTTGCAAATACATTTTTTTTCAAACGTATGCATTTTATTACTTTCCTAATTATTATAATTTTAGGTCACGCAGAAACAGCGCACAACCGCATTGCTTCCGTAGTAGTTGGCTTCAAGGAGGTATTGCTCGAGGAAGCCGAAAAGAAGAAGGATAATCGCAAGTGAGGCAAATTTGTATTTGTTTCTTACCTTTTATATAAATTTTTGTCAATTTGCATTTTATGGTATTTTAAAATTCTTGAAATATTTTATCTTGCCGATCTTGCTTTTACTACCCATTCGCAGTTGGCGCATAATACTGCAGCGAATATTGGTGAATGTGGTGGTGATGGGTCTATTGGCCGCCTCCGCGTACACTGTTGTCACCCTGGTGAATAAGTGAGTACCTACCGTTACCAGGTGATTTTTATCGCATTAAGTTTTATTATGCATCATGCGTGCTATATTTATTGCAAATTTAATATTTCAATACTCTGAACTGGTTTTCTTTTTTTTTGCATTTCGCACAGCTCGGAACAACTGGCACGTAATGGCAATTTACTCAGTCGCAATGCGGTTAACATCACCATCACACTTTTAGCCTTTTTTATGCCTATGATATTCGACGCACTGGGACTATTCGAAAATTGGCATCCGCGGCAACAGCTACGATTGCAATTGGCACGGTAGAAAAAAATTTCTTTCACTCGCACATACTCGTTTATATGCATATTAGTATTTTAATTAAATGTACTTAGAATGTTGAGTCTTGTTGAAAGATATTCGCATAGTTTAGGGTAGCTTAGTGTGAGCCTTTTATACTTTTCCTATAAGAATACTTCCTGTAAGCAGCCCAGCTTGGGATATGCGGTTGGCTCTGTTACAAGGGCCAACGAGCTTCCTGCTCTCACATTCTTCTTTGAAGAAGGACTCCATACAAATTAAAGGACAGAGTCAGATGCTATGCTTAGCCCCCTTCAGGTCAAAAAAGGGTCGCGGAAGTATCTCTATCCGTTGCCTTTTTTGTTACAGAACCATATGAAAATTGCAGCTCTTGAATTTATTTATGTAATTCAAAAACTCTTCGCAGACTCTTTAGCTTGAGTATTATATTTTATAGCAGGTATTCTTCCCTTGACTCCTTTCGCCGAATTTCCTTCCTAAACAATCTGTTATCTGGAAGTAAGTTCAGATCAAAAAGGTTGACTGAAGGGAATCACCATACGGCTCTTGAGGCCTAAGAGGCCCATTGTAAGGCCCAGAATGCTTTCCAAAATCGTTACACTTTATGTTCTATCATTAGGTGAGTTACTTTGAAATATTTTTTTTCTTACTCATATAAAAATATTTGTCCCCGCTCAGGTTATTCGATAATCAACATGAAAAAAAGGTTTAAACAAAGAAAAAAATGAAAAAAGTCGTAACTGTTTGTGAATGAGCATGTTAACTTTTATTGTTTTATTCTATTTTTGCCTGAAAAATTTTATCAGCGTAATACTACGTTCAAATTGACGAGCTAAACATGTTAAATGGGCTTGAACCAGTTAAATGAACAAAACACGTTCATAAACAGTTAAATCATTTAACTCGTTTGAAAACCAGTTCAACGCAGAGTTATATCGGAAAGCTTTCTGCTCCGGCCAATCAGAAAGACCCAAAAGCTTTCATTTGACACGCCAACGTTCAAAAAATGTACATTCTGAAAAATAAAAGAAAATTAGAAACTATCAAAAAATATCAAAATTGTATGCATGTCTGCCCGCCAAAAAAGAGGCCAAGGCGGTAATTAGTTATTTCCCATGAGGTCTCATCGTACGCAGAGATAAATAGTGCATACGAACTAAACAAAGTCTCTAAGTGATCCGTATGCGTTAATATCATGAAGCAGACATTCGCACAAAACAAATTGAAACACAAAAGCTTGTTTGTTAATATTTTTTTTTCAAATGTTTATTGGTAATCAAACAACCGTCAAAGTTAACTCCAAATGTTCAATGTAGACGATTGTGTTTTCCAAAAAGCTCTTTTTCATTTAACAAGTTAAATGGGGCCAATTTGAACGTAATATAAGCATGGCTTTCTATTATATAATAATAATAAAATTAGGGTAACAAAAGATTTTTTAACAAGAAAACTTTGTTAAAACCGCACTAAAATGAATAAAATAAAATAAGTCAAGCTTTCGTTAAAGTTACTAAAAGCCAAACGCACATGCATAATTCGTTATATGTATGCAGATATGTAAATGCCGCACAGTGTGCTTTTTGAACACTCCATGCGAATTAATCGTAGCGATTTCGACAGAAGCAATATTTTGATATGAAACAAAATGGTCTTGAAAGCTAATGTTATTCCATTTCACAAAAAAATACTGCCATTGATCCACAAATAATCCTTGACCTTAAAAAAATTTGTTAAAAATAGTGTTCTTCAAAAAAAACATGCAAAATCCAGCGGATTTGATCCAAATAAAATTTTTTGTGTGTTTTATTACAATACTAGTATAAATTTTGAGACGAGAAATACGATTCCAAAAAAAAAATGTAACACGTCAATTTAAGAAATGCATTTTTGATTGCATTTTTTTTATTTGCATGCAGCTGTGCATCCTTCTTACAATTTTATATCACTCGAATAACACGCATGCTGTAGTGCTATTCAAGGTCTTTAATTTGAGCGATGGTGGAAATCATTAGGCCCTCCGAGAGCCAAGTTATAACAATTTTAAACCAAACTTCGAATCTGCTGTACGAGTTTTTTCTCTGAAATTAGAAGAAAAAAATGCAAAAATGTCGAATGAAATTTCTAAGTTTAACTTCAGAATCGTTATAATTTGGCTCTCAAAGGGCCTAGAGACTTCTGCATTGGCTCAAATTAAAGATCTTGAATAGCACTATAGCATATTTGGTCTTCGAGTGATATAAAATTGTGAGGATGCGCAGCGAATTTCAAGCGCTTGGTAATTTGGGGAATCCCCTAGTTGTTTTTAATGGAAATGGCTATTCGTGTCGCTCGAAAATGCTGGTATGTGCTCCCTTCAAAGTTTTGCTTTCTCCTACGTCGGTCGTCAGTAAGAATTTCTAATGTTGTTAGTTAGTTATTGCACGCAAGCATGATTGCTTCTTTATTTTCTTAAGAAATAATTAAATATTAATAATTTTTAAACATGCACACAAAAAAGCATAAGTTTTTGACTTTAAGTGAAAAATCAGATATTGTGGAATACATACGAAAAGGTGCAGGTGTTACTAATTTAGCAACTAAATATGGAGTGACAAAGTCTACAATACATATGTGGAATAAGAAAAAATAAAAATGCTATCTCTAAATGTGCCAACAAAACATTTATCGGTCCTGGAATAAGGAAAACTATGCACCGCTCAGATTATCCAAAAATGGAAAAATCGCTATATCGATGGTTTTCGCATATAAGAGACAAAAAGCTCCCGGTTAGCGGACTGATGTTGAAAGAAAAGGCCAAAGAGCTTCATTGTAAAATTAAAGAAAATTGTCTTGAATTCATAGCCAGCTGGATGGCTTCAAAATTTCAAAAAGAGATATGGTGTTCGGTTGCTCCATATTTCTGGTGAAAATTATCTTCGCAGCACCAGTTGGTAGATCCATTCAAAATAGCGCTAAAGACGAAAATGGAACAGCTTGGTTTAAGTCGTGAGCAACTTTACAACGCCGATGAATCCGGTTTATTTTGGAAACTTTTGCCACAAAAACACCAGGTGCTTGCCACAAAAAGACCAGGTGCAAAGATGGAAAAGCAAAGGGTAACGTTCCTGTTTAAGTGCAGCAGGATCTCATCAAATCAAGCTTCTTGTGGTCTAGAAAACCCCGTTGTTTTAAAGGTTTTGACTGCCCTGTTTATTACCGACATTCTAAGTCCGCTTGGATGACTTATACAATTTATGTACATAGGTTACAAAATTTTTGACACAAAAAGGACTACCAGTTAAAGCTATCCTTTTAATTGATAACGCTCCATCGCATCCACCTGAGAATGAACTTAAAAGTGAAAACGACTCTATTTTAACAATGTTTATGCTCCCAAATGTGACCCCCCCCTAATACAACCCATGGATCAGAATGCAATTAGGATTACGAAACTCTATTATAGAAACAGTATTTTGGCTTCCGTTGCTGCAAAGGGGTGTGATTTGCTAGAATCACACCCCTTTGCAGCAACACACTTAAGGACGCTATTATTACTTTAGAATCTGCATGGAGTAAAGTGGATGCTGTTGTGCTATCCAAATGCTGGAAAATGTTTTTTGAATATGGTAGAAATTCAAGAGGATTCTGAAGAAGGAAAGTAGAAGATTTGGAGGAAAGCGCAGCCAATCTTTTACAAAACTTGAGAACTGCGGTTTGTGTTTTTAGAAACGTGAACTCGGTGTTAGCAGGCGCCTAAATGCATGCTATGTACCGCTGCATGTGCAAAAATTTCCTTTATGCCATTTATGAAATTTTTGCACATGCACTTCTCAACTGCCATGTAATTGAACTTTCTTAAGTTTTAATTAGATGGCATTTCAAAGTATGCTCTGCCTAGTCGGATGCATCCTCCGGACACTGCTTCCGGGGCATTTTGCGGACTCTGCATGACTTACAACCATGCAGAGGTGGCAAACGAACTTTGCCATTGACCACAGTGCCTACCCACCATTTTTGAACCAATAAATATTTTTTTATATAAATACATACATACAAACATACTGGTCTCCCCTCTCACTGAGTTATTAAGGCTGATGGTTGACCAAACGCACTTAAATATAGGTATTGAAGAAGCTAAGGGAAAAGGCTGTATTTAAGGTGGTTGAACAAAAGAAGCAGCATAAGCGGATTACCGATTTTTTTTCCCAAATGAGTTCTTACTTATTCATAAAATTTAAACAGAATATGAATTTATGTATATCTAAATACACAGGTTTACTGCAAAAATGTTCTATGGATGCCACTATCTAATTCCTATGTAGAATTGCTCGGCGATTCCGAAAATCGAGTTAATTTTTTTTCTATGGATACGTTTTCGTAATATTTGCAATTTACCGTTATTCAGCTTAAACACAAATAATTGGTTCCTTTTAATCACGTATATCTTACGAACTACTTTAAAAATCTTAATATGAAATAAGGCAAATGAAAAGCCAATGAAATTCTCCATAAACCGTATATAGACCACTTTCCGATAGGGCTTACAGTTTCTGACAAATTAATTAATCATTCCAGCTTTTTTTATTTTTTAATGAAAAAGTGAAATAAAGTTTAACAGAAGAAAAATTTAAAAAATAACAGGTGCTGTGGTAAATTTTTGCATTTCTACTAAAGCCTGATCTGTTACAGAAAAAAAATCAAGTTACTGATGAAGAAAATCTATGGATAAATACGAAATAATGAGTGGTCAAATGAAAATCCGCAAAGATTTTTTGTATGAAATACGAGCAGTAAAGCGTGTTACTCAGGTGTACGTTGGGTATGAGTAACTTTCTTTAAAGGAACCAATTTTCGCTTTAAGCTGAATAACGGTAAACTGCAAATATTTCGAAAAGGTATCCATACAAATTCTACAGAGAAATTGGATAGTGGCGTCAGGAGAACAAAAACCAAATAAAAATTTGTGATCTAGTGATATTTTTGTTTATATGCGATCTTGTTTATTTGTGTAACGAACAAAATG